CATACTAATTACTGCCAAATCTTTATCTTTAAACTTTACTTTTCACCTTAGCTCCAGGCCTACATTTTCAACTACCTAATGGACAACCATCCTGTCTTACCTGGTGTATCATAAATAAAAATTTCCCAAATAAAGTTCATTAGCCTTCAATTACAAGTTTTCTATAATCTCCCTTTCGTCAACTTTGGGACTAACAGATTATTTTTTACTCTTCCACTTTTATGTCCTGTATCTAACCAAACGGTATGATTAATCCCATCTCCAAAATCTTGCTTGACTCAATCCAATTGTATCTCCATTTCTATCATTACCATCTCCACATTCATTTTCTGTCTTTATCTATAGTAACAATCTCTTCTCTGGTTCCCCTACCTGCCTCCTTCAGTTTTTCTCTTCTCCAGTTTATCCTATACTCTATTTCCTGTGTTACCTTTTCAAAATAAAATTCTGAGCATATGATTTTCCTATTCAAAAACATGCAATGATCCCTCAATACCTATAGGATAAAATCTAAACTCATTATTTGTGTAGAGCACGGGTTGACAAACTAAGGTCCATGGACCAGATGTAACCCACCATATTTTTGTACATGCAATTTTATTGGAAAACCGCCATGCTCGTTCACATACATGTTATCTATGGCTGTTTTCACAGGAACAGAATTGAGTAGTTGCAACAGAGACCAAATGTTCCAGAAGGCCAAAAACATTTATCATCTGGCCCTTTACACAAAAAGTTTGCAGACTCCTGGCATGGAGGATGTAGAATAATTGGGCCCCTACCTCCCTTTCCAGTCTCAACTCCCATCACAAACTCTCGACCTTTACTATGTCAAAAAGGCCATTCTATTCTTAATAAAACCACCACTTATTTTTCAAAGGGCTTTACTTGATACAATTGGGGCCCAGAGTATACTGAATAAAATGATGGCTTTTTACCAATTCCTACCATATTATCTCATGTCTTATTTAAAACACATACAAATCTATGATTCTAAACAGAAATCAGAGACTGGAAACTACTTGGGAAAGTGACAGCAAATATGTGTATTATAAAAATCGCAGAGCACTTAAAATAGCTGACAAGAGGTTCTATCATGGCAACTAAAAAACACTTATTATTTACTTCACCAAGGTACTTTTGTGCAAAGAGCACTAGATTTGAAGTCAAAGCACTTAGGTCTAATACTTAAGTTTGGATATTAGAGTCCCAGTATAGTTGCATATGAATTACATAGTCTTTTCATCAAGATAACAAACATTGAGTTTTTAATCTGAGTCATTATCATTACCAATATTATCAGCATCTGTAATCCAACAGCATAATTACAAATTGTATTTTTATAACATTTTAAAGCTTATAAAGTATTCACAGATATCTCATTTGAGTTCACAGTAATCTTGTGAGATTTGAAGGCAAGTTTCTTCACTTTGTAAATAAGGAAATTAAGGCCCAAAGAAACTAAGTGTATTGCCTACCATCACAGAGTAAAAAAATAGCATAGGCTCAACCTAGTTCTTCTGATTCAAGTTTAACAGTTTTCCCACTTTTTAATGTTGTCTATTTAATGACATTTTACAAAATGTAATCTGCTGTGAGCCTGCAATAGCAAATAACTTTACCAGCAAAAATTCTACATAATATCCCTTTATCTTACCTCCAGCTGCAAGACACGACCATCAGCAAAGGCTCTGGCTTCGACTAAATTGGGTCCCACTGAAAAGCTCATCAAGATCCAAAGAGTATTCCAAGATGACCACATCAGAGTTGTTAGACCACTAGCTAGTCCAGTCATTATTTACATTAGAAAAAAAATCTGTTTGTACTACAACTATAACACAGGCATGAAACTTCGAACTGGTGTCAGAAAAACGTTTCTAGGCTAAAATAAAGGATTTTCAAGTCAACAGACTAAGAACATTCAGGAAAGTCCTTAAATAAAAGTAGTAACAAATTGTTATATGTTGATCATTGCTTTAAAAATATTTATAAAACTACATGTTAAAACAGTCAAAATCTATCTGGGACTGAAAGAGTAAATATGAGCTAGGACTGAAAAAAGAAAAAAAAGCAACCCTGCAATTAATCAGGCTTGGGGGGACAGACATAGATAAAACCACCAGCAAAATTAACAGGAAACAGTTTTTCCCAAGGTCATGCAGCAGTTGTAAAATATCATGAAGACTCCCTCTCGAGTGATTACTGCTTTCTTACCAACAATGTCCCCAGACCCACTTTGCTATTTTCACTTTTTACCAGAGGGAGATATCCAGTTCCTAAACTGTCCTTGCTTCATGACGGTACCTGATCCCTAGTTAATCCCCACTTGTTCCAATTTGCCTCAGTAACAGTCACCAATCTAGAACTGATCCTGGCTTCCATCAGACCCTCCTCAGCATCCTTTAATGTAAACCAAACTTCACAAAAAATACTTGCCTCATCCCTCTTATCCAGAGGCCTGTCACTGGGAGTTTACTCCCTCACTATACATCAATACATCTAATTTTCTCAGACTACAGGCTAATTCTTAGTGGTCCTTGGTTGATTATGGTTAAACAAGAAAATGTATTTTGAATTATCCTACAGATTCAGCAGTTTCTTATCAACAAAAGCCCTCTTAAGACACCCCGCTAAAAAACCTCCAGAGCCTAAACCAAAAAAATCACTAACCACAATAGACTTTTACTGCCAAGAAAGATGAGTAACTCACTGAATTCTGTTTATTGTAACAGGAAATATTCTGGTCAATAATGCTAAAAGATATAGGACTTAACCAAAGCCAGGTAACTACCATATCTGCTGGGACAGAGACTTCATCATCAAATTGGCACCGAGCTCCAGATAAAACCAGAGGGTATAAATTGGTGATACTACCCGACCTTTTTTTTTGAGACAGGGTCTCGCTCTGTTGCCTTGACTGTAGGGCAGTGGCATGAACACGGCTCACTGCAGCCTCAACCTCCTGGGCTCAAGTGATCCTGCTGCCTCAGGTTCCTGAGTAGCTGGGACTATAGGCACATACCACCACACCTGGCTAATTTTTTATTTTTTAATTTTTGTAGAGATGTTGGTGGGGGGTCCTCACCATGCTGCCCAAGCTAGTCTCGAATTCGTAAATTCAAGTGATCCTCCCGCATTGGCCTCTCAAACTGTTGGGATTACAGGAACAAGACACCATGCCCAGCCTCTGATTTTTTTTAAGACAAATGAATCACGTAACTCTTGGGCAATTTTATCTGCCACCTGCATGCATTAAAGTTATACACAGTGTATATGAAATCCTTATGTAATTTTCTAATTTTTTAATTGTTTATTTTTTGGTTAGAGATGGGATCTCTCTGTTGCCCAGGCTGCTCTTAAATTCCTGGGCTAAATTGACCCACCATCCTAGGGCTCCCAAAGTGCTAGAAGACATTAAAACTTAAAAATTAGGCTGAATAGGGCCGGGCGCGGTGGCTCAAGCCTGTAATCCCAGCACTTTGGGAGGCC